ATATATATAGCGTATGTGCGTGTGTGTTTGTGCGTGTGCATAGAGGTAAAGGTAGCATATTCGATTGTTTATTATATGCCACCAACGTTTTGACAACCCAGATTACAGTGGCAATAACTCATACCTAAATAGCGGCCACCCGGGAGTGATTTGGCGACCAGATACATACGCCCCTGTTTGATCGAACGCAGTTCCGAACCCTTGCAAGGTATTTGCTGCATCCTTATCACTGTGGGTGATGGGTAGATATAGTTAGAATTCATACTTGCAGCAGCTGGTAACTACATGTTGTCCGGTTTTCAATTGCGCAGGACTTTAATGAAAGCAGGAAGCGTATTTGTGTACAATTTATCGTAATTTTCTGATATTATTTTAAATTTGCATGGGATACAGTGCTACTTAAACTTAAGGTGCTTTCGGGTGTTATAAATATCTGTAAATTGTTCCTGATTGTTCACAACCGAACCTGTAGGTTGGCTCATGCACATTGTGTTGCCATGGAAACTCTAATAATTATAATCTATTATACAATACCGGCTTATAATTTCTAGAACATCTCGCAGATAACAAAGTACATATCAAACCGTATCGTGACCCTCTAGTAGAATGAAAAAATTGCCACAAGAGACTAGCGCCATCAAAATGCCCGTGACAGTATACATGGGTATGTCAAATTCTCACACTTACGACAAGTCCACCCCAAACGCAATCTGGCCGAACGTATTCATGGTGAGATTCAAGAAGAACTGTGTGATGTTGACCACTTCACCGCTATCAGCCGCCTTTCCAAGGGTACGCACGCCTTCTTCGATATGGTCTACGAACACTGCATTTCAAATATAAGAACGGTGCGGACTCGTAGGATATAATATGGTGAACTAGATGATATGTATTTTGTTGAGTTAGATTGTCAAGATATATATACATGAACCCGCCTTGGTGTTGTATTGGAATGAAAGTAGATATATAACATCTTCATAGTAAGGTTTATAATGAGAGAGAATAGAGTATAAGAATGCGATTTAAATATAAGCAGTTGCTCGTATGCTACAATGAGCAAAAGGCTTAATATACCAACACGTGATTTCAATAGACGAATGATGTATATATTTCTTTGCGGTAGATACAGCCTTTACCATTGTCAGTACTCTTGTGCATACTGACACAACGATGAGCACGCGGCATTACATTTCATTAAGTACCACACGTGTGTGCGCTCGTACTATCATCAATCTCACAAACAACGACAGGCATGTGTGATGGAGGCTGGCATACTCATCACATCAAAATGTGGAGAGATGTCAATATGGCATACCTGGAGCCATTTCTTCTCTTAATGATTTGGTGGTGAATATGTGCGATGAGGTCTTGCGCTGCACTTTCCACTGATGCCCGTCTACGGCGAATATTCCTTCGCCGAACCAGTCTCTAAATAGGTACTGCAATGTCTCGCCTGTACATGTACGTGCGTTCGGATGATACAGTAGAGATGATAATTGATATCGCTGTCTCAGTATTTGCAATATTGTAATAATTCAGAGGCCTGCTAAGAATTTCCTGTTTTGATAAGGCGCATACATGGATAGAAAGTATCAATGCCAGAGAGTGCCTACTTGGAAGTGTGGGCTTTCAAGTGTATGCACTACACTTCTGTAAAGTGCACATCCCATGGCCAATATCGATTCGTCCAGCATCTTGATGCCAAATTTGTGTGCAATGTAAAACAGCTTTCAGTAAACACATTATATTGGCAGTACACCTCGAGCGAATCCAGATTCATATCATAACAATTCACTAATCTGACGATTACACAACTACTAGTATTAATAAGAGACCAGTCCATAGTGTAATATAGATGATGGTACAAAATCACAGTTTTCACTATCATATATAACAGCCTCTTGCCTTTGGGGTAGTTCTTAAATTTCGTGGCGAGTATGTGCTCGCAATTCTCGGGTGAGGTGACGAAGATGCAATCTCCCAATTGGGTCTTGAGGTTGAATGTACGTCCAAATTCTTTGCAGACTTCCAATAGATATAGATCAAATCTACATCGGATTCAAAGTTTTTATAGTTAATAATGAGCATGTGATTAAAAACGACCGTATTTTTATCAAAACTGTATTCGACAAACATTTCAAGTGTATGGTTTACTTCTCGGTATGGATACGTTTTCTCGTTTAAATATCGATGGAACTGTTTTGATTAGACATTGGAGTCATATGGTGCTGCTATACATCGATACAGCCTAAAACTATATATAAAACGGAGGCCATCTGGAAAAACGGTAGAATCACATTGACCAATTTCCATTTAGAGAGGAAGGAATCAATTGCGCTCCTATGGTTGGTATGTACTATGCGTTCAAACCGGGTGGTCGATTTTACCCATAAACAAAAGATCAGCCACCACGACAGTGACACTCATATAAACAGAAAGCGCAGTAAAAGTTTAGGGCCGAATTACCTTTCCATCTGGAAGAGCGATCGCACAGAACCGATCAATGGAAGAGCAAACGGTCCCGGAGGCATGATCTTATTCCGCCTGACGGTCCATATTGTCAAGTACGCTATGACAATGGCGACCAGCATAAGAAATTTGGTCTCGGCCAGCATGATTAAAAAACCTCCTTGGTGTGTCCTCTAGTATTGAAGTGAGCTGCGACGGTACATGTTGATTATTTTTAGATGAGTCCTGCAAAGTGCCGAATGTCGAATGCGGACTGCTGTGAGTATGAGGCAGCACTCAGCACTCAGCAGCAGGTCGCAGTCAAGAATTGTTGTTGTGCAGTCTGTATAATTGTATATATTAACACTCAAAAAATGGAATACATACAAATGTATAATATATTGGGCACCGATTAGTTATATTGATTTATATCTTTGTTTTTTGTTTAAAAACAAAGTATATAAAACTAAAAAAACCCCCGCAAAAAAAATGTTAAAAAAAACAAATCAATTTTTTTTAAACATTCCGATCTATTTGTCATAATTTTTGGTCAAAGAACAAAATCTACTTTTGTCTGCATCGTCATTAACTATCTGCTAATATAAGGCCGGATTTGCCAACTTAAGGAAATATTGGGGGGGGGTAAACAGCCCTAAAAAATATAGAGGTACATTTGGCTGTATTTCTTATGAAATTTTGGGAAGCTCCATTTCTAGAGAATTTTGAAATATACCCAATATTGTATTTGAAATATTGTTGTATATTCGCACATTGTGTCGGTAGTACAACCCATGTTGTACTCTACCGCTGGTACCTGTTGCTCTGGACCGTTGTCTGAGATTCTAGACTGTAGCCTACTATCTCTTTGGCTGACAAATGAGCTTCGGTCAGATACTATGGATTTCTGGCGGTATTTCTCACATATTCCATAGTGCTTTTAGTGGCCTGACCAAATTTGTTGCACCTACAGTTGGAAAATACCATCGAATATTGCAACTTTGTACAACTTTTGCGCGTGTTTCACGAATCTACAAGTTTCGATTGCTAGAGAACTAATGTATTTCTGGAAAAGTTCACAAACGTTTGCACAGAATCTAAAGTGAAAATCAGTAAACAAGCAAATAAGGAACACAGCACACAAATATGTACAAAGTACGTCGCAGTTTGTTTGTGATTCACAAGCACTCGTAGGTCAGCGACTAGGTAATACGATGGCTCCCTCGCATAGCAACCTCAAACGATATGCAAAAAAAACTACAAGGATTTTCTGCAATACTGGCAACCATGCCATGATTAGGACGCGTATGAGAATCTGATGAATATCCCGCAAAAAAAAATCACAATACAGATATTACCGCAGGATATATTCAAATACTTCTGTCTACTTGCATATGGTAGAGAGAATCCTGGACATGATGATCACCCTACTCTACATAAGAGGTATATCTCATACTATATCCAGTTGATATGAAGGAAAATCCTACGAGATCAAAGGATGTGAATCACTTATCGAAAACCATTGAGAGGGCAGAGCTTAGGAGTGAAATTTCGTCAAATTTTTGCTATCAATCTAGAGAATAAGAATTTTCATAATGGTGGTCTGCATGCTTTTTGGACTTTGACATGTCAGCTTCTATGTCGAGTGGATGATGTGACAAAAATAAAAATTGAGAATTTGAAGCCCAATGACGACAATCCGGAGCAGCTTTTGTGACTCTAGTTCGCAGTAAGAATCTCAGAGAGAAGGGTCAGGTAGCCACACAAGTCAACTTGGCTATATGGATTCTTACTTTTGCGCTCTTAGTGCACTGGCCGCTCACCTTGTAGAACACATGCTAGAGAGAACTAGTACGCATCAGTTGGATTTGGAATATATGTGCACTCTAAATGGTACTGTGGGTTGGGATGACAAATTAAAACCAGATGTGGCTAAGAGAGAGATTGCTAGAATTGTACGGCTAGACAACTTTGTGGCTAAGGGCGAAGTCGACAAAATCGGCACGCATAGACTCAGAAAGTGCACGTGCACATATGCTCAGAGACATGGACGCTAAAAAGATGATGCAGAAGGTAGAGGCAGATGGGCCAGGACCAGAACAAAGGTTCAGAGAAAGAAGAATATCCTGATGCTAAGGCCTTATGTAGTCCCCGAGGTGCTTGCAACTATAGGATCAACTCAGGTAAGCTTTCGATCAGTGTTGTGAATAAACTATGTGTATCTATATATGGCACACTTATTCGTAAATATGTGTATACTGAAATTACAAAGATTTACTATCGTTATTCTTATACTGCAGACTTCAATCTTAACGATGAGGACTTAAAGTTGGTTATACCAGGTGTGTGAGACCTACCTGGCTTTCATATCCAGCACAAAATAATGTTTTCTATTGTTGCACTGTATCTCGGTATAACTGAGTCCTTTTTAGTACCAGTAGAGTACCACAAATATTGCAACGATGTGGTAAGATATTTGTTTCAAGATATAAGTGATGAGAATAAGAGGTTGTTAATTTTGCGACGACTTGCAGTTGTGATTCGTGCTCGAAATGATTGCTTCTGTAAACTTCGATGGAAATTACTAGGTTTCAAACTATATTAAACTAATATACAATTTAGTC